ACACACACACACACGCACTCACAGAAAAACGTGTGAAGTTGTGAAGCTGCAGCTGGCCCAGCTTCTTATTTGAACTAGCACGCTTGACTGAGGCCCATTTATTGATTGGCTGGTGTGCCAGACCTGAAGGACTCGTGGGGGCTCGGATCCCCCCACCCATTACTCTTCCCCCCCGCATTGCACACAAAACCACACACACACACACCAGCACGCCACACGATGCAGCACTTGGCAGCTTCGCTCCTCTCTCCGATTCCCAAGTTACTCATGAGGAAGAACGGGAGCAAGTCAGAGAGGAGACGGCAGGCAGACAGGACACACAGAGTGACCCAGAGAGGAGGGCATCACACATCGGGCTCGCACACAAACAAACACACAGTCAGAACAGAACTGGAGTGATTGACTCACACATTTTGAAAAGGCATGGAGCAAGACTTTTTATCTTGCAAGCTACTGGTGACAGCTCTTCTCATCCTGGTACTGTAATGTTTACTTTGCTCCATTTTCAGCCTGAAAAAAAACATTTTGTTTAGAGATGTATTTGTCTTTTATCTTATTTTATTCCCTTAAAAACACTTGCCAAACCAAGTAATGCATCCAGAAAGCATGTGTTCTAATAGATTGCTTTGCTGTGTACAAGTGTGTATGCATGTACAGTTTGTATTTCATGATTTTGTGAATTGGTGCAGTCGAAATTCAGGTCCTTTCAACAGTAGCAGGCAGTTAGTATCACCTTACTCACCTGGTCTTATTTTCTTTGCTCAGAAGTTACCATGTCTCCTCTTTGTTTTTGATCTAAATCACAAAAGTTGACTTGTCACGCAGGTCGGCAAGCTGTTTTGTCTGAGGTCAGGACTCCCTGTTACATTACAGTGACTGCCTTGCTTGCGGCATGACGGCAAGTACAGTGCAATGCAGCATGGAGCCGACGACAAGGGATTCAGCAGATGTGCAAATATCGTATGTCTTGCCGACTGAAAAGGCCATCGTATGTATATTGACACAGTCTGCAAAAAAGGCTCCAGAGTCGGGTTTCTTTCCCCTGTTGAGGAGTTTTCCATCTTCAAGGAAAATGTCCTTAGTATGCTGACAGGTGACTTAAATAGAATCTGTCCATCAGAATAACATATAGTGTGGAGATCACTGGTCTTTTATCATATGCTTATTTCCTCTCTTTCACTTAATGTAAAAACGTGGGATGGGTGACAGCCAAGGGGCCTTTGTGGTTATGCATTTGCTCTGTTTTTCTCATAGTAAAAGAGCCAGAGAACAAATATGTTGAAATGCACATGCTTTGTTGTGTAAAACTGTTGAGGTGCAGCTAAAACCCTGAAGGGATCAGAACAGGAAAGGTAGGAGGTGTAGTGATGGAAGGCTCCAAATGGATATCCGAGCCTTGTGATTATTGGATTCAAATCCCAGCAGGACGGCCGTCCGACTCGAAGAGCCCTGTGTTCCTCCGCCTCCATTGAGAACAATAGCAGCACAGTCAGCCAAACAACCTCCTCATCTCCATCCCTCTGTCCCCTCATCTACTTCCCCTCCTCTTTCTTCACCAGCCTTGCTATGCCTCTGGCTCTCTTGGCTTTGCAACACACAACTTCCAGCCGTAATTGACTGCAAAATTCACTGATTGCTTTTCAAAGGAGAATTAACGTGGTGTGCTAACTGGCTGCCCAGAGCACAGCCTGTGTTTATTTACCGTGGATCCAAACATTGAAATAGTTGGCACGTGCAGAAAGTAGCGCCGTTGCCGATGTGTTTGGCCGTATGCTCCGTTGGCTGCGTGTTTAGCTCTTGCCGTTCCACTCTGCTGTTCCTCAGGCGTCATCAGCACTGACAGCCATTTATATCAGTCCCCATGCACTTTTAATAATGTGAACCCACCACCCCGCTCCACAGTGTACAGCATGGGTGTTTTTGCTACTGTGACCCAAAGAAAATAATCAAGGCTGTATTATTACCTTGTATCTGCTTTCCTCATCCATTCATCTTTGTAGACAAAGCACAATGCCATGCTATTAGGAAAAGGGGCCAAAGAGGTCAAAATAACCTGGCGTATCCTGAGTTTTTCCTCTAAAATCTCAAGGCTGTGTATCTCAAATGCAAGGCTGGACATTCACTATAAACTATTTGTCAGCTCAGCAGGCATAAATCTTTTTAAGAGCAGGTGTTACACATAAAGTTCTCATAGTCCCTCCTTTATTCAGTGTGTTCAGGGTAAGTGGGCTTGTTGTGCCTCACATTTCATTCCTAATCTGCAGGATTTGGGATTTTTAAGTCCCTGTCTAAAACTCTGCTGGATGTGCAAGCACCACGACTGCACCGTCCCGTTGTGGGAGGCTGTCTAAAGTGCACAAAAGCAGCATTTCTGCAATCTTAAAATGTTCTTTCATGGCTCTCCAACACCCAACAGACTGCCTAAGTGTTCAGGTTATTGTGGAAAATGATAATTTTCTCTTATATCCATCTATTCCTTTTCATGGCTTTAAGACCTCTGTTGAATGGCAGATTATTTTATTGAATGTGTTTGCACCTCTGGTCTTTTAAACCACATTCCTGCTGCCATAGGGGGTTGGATGATTTGTTCAGTGTTAGTTCCAAAAGTATTTTTTTCATTTTCTAGGTTTTCACCCATTCAACAGGTATAGAACCACTTTTTTATTCTTGGCCTCAGTCTCACTGGAGTGGAATACTTCCACCGAGCTAAGGTGTCCTTAGATAGCAAAATCAATCCTGTTTTTAATTTTATCTGAGCCTGGTATTGAGACAATGTAGCTCTCTTAACTTCATTCAGTCAGTTCTGCAAAGGCCATCGAGAAGATTGCCACTGCTGAGTAAAGCCAAGAGAATGAAATATAACTCAGATGATACAGATGACAGAGCCAACCTTACTAATAAATATCTTGTTTAGAGCAAGGTGAGCCAGTCGGGCCTAATATAATCTGAAAATACAAAGGAAAGGCAATGAGGAGTTAAATTAGTCTAAGATAGAGGGTTGGAGAGGATCTTTTATTTTTTGGCTGTCACTCTACATCTGAGATGCACATTGTCCTTGCAGTCGCAAAATTCATCTTCTCATAATATTGAATTTGGATCCCGCAGTAATATCCCTACCTCTGCTGCCAAATACAGCATGATGCAATTAACAGAGAGAGAGGCACACAAGTGAGGCCCGAGGTTTAAGAGAGGACCAACATTTCATAATCTAAAAGATGACTCAGACATTTGAAATATTCAAAAGGGCAAAAGTCGAGAGCTTTTCATTGCTTTCCCTTGCAGTCTCTCTCAATCCTGTCAAATGGACTTCTGTTTCATTTTCAGCAGCTCCTGGAATTTAATTCGGGCTCTCAACTAAGTTCTAGCTTTTGTTGTGTGCTCTGCAAGATAATCTGCTTAAACAGAGGAAGCCACAACTCATATGGCTGAGGAAGATACATACAGGTTGCTTCTATTACAAACGGGAGATTAGAACATAACTCAGTTTTATCTTGTTGAATGTTTGGTTGGGTCTTGGCAGAAATGAAGACACACTATATAAAATAAAGAATGGATGAGGTGATAATAGTGAAAATGCAAACTGCTCAAGGATGTCCATGACAGCTCACTCATGTGTATAACCTCTGCATTTCCTTTTTTGGTGTGTAGAGCTCACGGACGGCCCGATCAGAAGAGGACAGAGACACTCTGTGGGATGCCTGGGGCTCGTGGAGTGAATGCTCCCGTACCTGTGGAGGAGGTGCCTCATACTCCCTCCGACGATGCCTCAGCTCCAAGTAAGGCCATCTCTTAGCCACTTTTTAACCTTAAGCCTGATACATACTCTACAAAACATGGGCTACAGTGTAGTGGGCAACGCTCAATCCCTTTTTCCTATGCCTTTCCTCTTGACAATTATATACAGTATACTATACCTATATCACACCTCAATGAGTAATCTCTGTCATTCTCATTTATTGGTAACATTTCTAATTGTCCCTTACAACTTTGAAAAATTGCTGGAAACAATATTTCTATTATGAGAAGCAAAGACATATGAGACTAGTAACAGAATGATGCTATGTAGTAATTCTCCATCTTAAGCAATGCTTACATCACAGGAGAGGAGGATATACAGTAAATTGAATGTATAATTTCAAGTTAGAACCTCATTGCCCTCATTAACTTCAGATAAATGGAAACATCACATGGACAATTTGTAAGCGTGTGTTCAAACACCATCAGAGGTAATCTCCTCTTGTAAAGAGCAAAGTTCTGACTGGGGTTGGACTGGTTTCCATTAAAGTGCCATATCATGTCTTTAAGATTCAAGAGAGGGAAGGTGGAAGGGGGGGTCTTTTTCTGTTGCTCAGGGCCGTTCTGGCAAATAAATCCAGACAGCGTCCCTAATAGTGTGAGTAAATCTCACCAATCGGTCCATTCCCATGGGCTGCAATGGGAATGCTCAAAATACATATGACTGTAACGTGACTGTTAAATACCCCTGAGGGGTCAACTGAGATCACCTGCCCATCCACCTCCTAAAACTGTCTAGACGGCCATATGAGCCTAAATCTTGAATTCATCAGTTGACAATGGGGATCTGACTTTCAGTTATGGCCTGGACATGCTTCTTCACAAATCAGAGCATAACAATCAACGTCCCTTGCCAAAGTTTATGTCACTTTTAATAACTCTTTTCTGTGATAGAGTTTAGGCTCTGCAAGCAATGAACCCACATTGGTTGGATTCCCACTGCTCATCATCTCGTCTTAAATCTAGGGACGAACTGGAACTTGCACTTTGGACCTCGCGGTCCTTTCATCCCGGTGCCAAAGTCACCTAGTTGGTTAGGCTTCGAGCTAACCCAGTGGGCTTCGAGATTAAAGCTCGTGGCCAAGTGTACTCGGCAAAGCGGTCAATTACAAATGGATTTGAGGAACAAGAGAAAAAAAAAAGGAGACAGAAGGAGGAGGACAGAGGGTATGTTTTCCATAGACATGTTGTCAAATTTATAGACTGGGAAATAGCTGCAGGGTGACTTCACTGCATTCCTCTATTTTACAGTTTCCCAAATGTATTGCTCTCTCATTAAAGGTAACCAGTCAGCTTTGCTGCCAAAGTCACCTCTGTTTCACTGTTGGGGGCTTCAGGGGGAGCTCCAGCAATGACAGGAGCAGCCAGTGAGATCATAAAACAATGTAACTGTCCAAGGACACACTGACGAAACAGGGAAGATCATACCTGAGGTCACAACCCAGATGTACTCTAAGGTGCTTCCAGTGTTCCATACCCATGAATCTGTCTGCACTGGTACTGGGAAGCCGGGCTGAGAAGCATAAGGCTGTCAAAACCTCAAACTCCAAGTGCCAGACCCCCCATGTACTGCATTGTAAACATTGAGGTAAATGGCTTTTTGAGGAGTTCATTTCATGATATCAGCAGCAGCCATTTCTCTTTGCTTGCCCAGAAATTTTTGGTCAGACAGACCTCGGAATGCTACTGGCTGTAAAAGCAATTGATGTGTTAAGAGGTGTTCGGGGTTTCAGCTCCATGTGGGATGTGTGCAGCGTGTGTATGTGTTGACGTACATATATGCTCATGCAATTCCAGGTGGGTATGTTTACAAACTCTTGTGTCCTTTAGCAGTAGCAGTAATGTATGGGGTTCTTAAGTAAATGGCAGGACCCGCCATCCCACCTCATCCCACCTCACCCTGCTGTTGCGTGGGAATGAGGGAGCAGTAGCCTAAAACCGGGTGGCAGATCAAACGGCGTCATTAAAAAGCACAGCACAAGGCCCCTTGTGTGTGTGTGATTCTTTGGAAAGAGAGGCTGGAAACGGGCCTGCAACACCCTCCAAACCAATACCACTCCAACTCTCTGACCTTTAAACACACACACACACACGTAGGACCAATTGCGAATGCAGAAACGTGCACAAGAGTTAGACAACCTCCCAAAAGGGCACATCCAAAGTACAGACTAAACACAGATCGCCTGGCCCTCATTAGTCCCACCCGCACAACACACTTCACTTGATCACAATCTCCATTATTAACAGCCGCATAGCTGGGTGGAAGCAAGTGTGGACATATGGATTGGGTGTCATGGCAAGAGAAAGCACTGTGCAATTATTTATGAGGCTGACAGCTGACTTTAGATATTAGTCTTTTTGTCATTTCGTTTAATAAAGAGGCCAGTCTCAATTATATTTTTGACTTTGTCATCAGTCACGCAACGCATTGATAACCTTCCACCATCAGGAAATAAAGATGAGCAGCTGCGGGCAAGGACAAAGAACAATTTAAGAAGTGTTGCAAAAAACTTCTCATTGCTGATCAGGATATTTTTACTATTCATTGGGTCACTGATTTGCAAAAAATACTGGCAGTGACAATAAATGACTGTGGCATTTTGGAATTTCACCAATGGCATGCCACAGCTGTGTTTAAAGTCTATATTTAAATGGTTGGGTTGTTAAAAGTGAATTTTCTCCAAGGCCGTGACTAATTAACTTGCTCTAATTAAATTGTGCCTGGCACCTTGATTATGTCTCCTACTTCAGAGTATGAGGGACCACCCTCTGCGTGGCCCCTCTCTACAGTGCCAGAATATAAACAACAACAATCTGTGTACAGATTATGTAGACTCCAAACTCATTTTAGATTTGGATTTTAAAATACAGAAATTTAGAATCATAGGCAAATCATAGGGCCTAAAATGTATTAAGACCAGAAGTCTACAGCCATGCTAGCAGCTCTGTTAGCACGCTAGCAGCTGTACTAAGATGTTTTTCAGTTTGTTGTAGTTTTGTGTTAACATGCTAAGACGCCGTACATGCTAAGTACAGGTGAAGCTCATGGAAATGTCATTAATTTTGCAGTATTCAACCA